ACACACACACACACACACACACACACACACACACACACACAATGGGATCATCCCATAAAGAGGCTCTCTCTCTGTCTCTCTCTCTCTCTCTGTCTCACACACACACACACACACACATACCCGTTTTTACTACCTGGTGGGACCACCTGATTGAGAGGGTGCTGGTGGGATCCACCTTTTCTATGTTGTTTAGAAAATTAATTTTAATTGCTAAATTCATTTAAATTTTTTGTAAAGAGGAAAATCACTTAAAATATTAAAAACACTCACATGGAGAAAACCCCCCTGAATTTTGCTATTCCCGTGGGGACCCTCCTATATTTAAGATGAGAAACTTTGTTTTTCACCAGAAATAATTAACATTTCCTACCATGTTAAACTGTACAGCTATAATACTACAGCAGCTGTGCTGAAACTGTTAACTCAACCGCACTTAAACTTCTCAAACCAAACAACAATTGTCGTGTTTAAACTCTTTATTTATACACATGGCACCTCAATATTAGCAAATGGCAGAGTTTAATTTCAAAATAAAAGGCCAAGTGTTGAATTTAAACAATGTAAAAACAGCCATGAACATTTTTTTTTAACTGACCTTCAATGCAAAATGAAATGAAAAAGTTCTGCTGTACACAAATGCAAAGAAAACAATCAATTTTGTTTACACCAGGCCAGCTGTGTGTAAACTAAACATAAGCTTTAACATGAAAAAAGGAACAAACAAAACAAACAGCCCACGAAATGTGCAGGTATGCATTTGACCCCAAAACTTATAGTCTTTTAGCACTGTTGCGCTTCAGTGCTGTTATTTTGTTTTTAACATAATACTTCACCGCTTTCCATGTCCTATTTTCCAGTTCTTTTGGTGAAGCTTCAATGCATGAAACACAATCCGCCTTTCCAGGGACTTTCCCACTCTCTATGAAGCTTTTTAATGTTTTTTCTACGGCATGGGTCTCCACAGCTGACCAGCTTCTCTTCTGTGAAGCTCCTGAGAACACACAAAGGTATTAATAGGTCTGTAATAATTTTAATTGAAGGGGCACTCAAGTACACTGCACAACATTACAAGCAGTAAAATACAGAAAACCACAAAAGTACAGAAAAATAGTGACACTGCTGTTATGTTTGTGGATTGAAACCAAATATAAACCAATGAGTCTTAAGTGAGGATTTGAAAAGAGAATGTGAAGTGATATTTCTGATGTTAGTGATTTCCAGAGCACAGTGGTGAGACGGGTGTGAGGGACAGACAAGCAAATAGGAAACTCAACAAGTGAAAATACAACATGCCAGCAAGTGAAATAAAAAGTAACCCCCATTTATTTTTGCCACTTCAGAGGAGGTATCGTACTGCATGTAAATATCTCAAAAGTGACAAACGTCCCCATATGGCAGGGGTGTCAAACTCCAGTCCTCGAGGGCCAGTATCCTGCTTGTTTTTCAACGAGCCTGCCCTTGTAGCTTCTTATTGACAAAGCACACCTGATCCAGGTAATCAGCAGAAGGTAGGGCAAGGATATCTCAAAAACAAGCAGGATACTGGCCCTTGAGGACTGGAGTTTGACACCTGTGCTGTATGGTGTTCTACAAATGCTGGAGGAACAATGAAATCATTAAACAGATTTACAGTCCCCTGCAAAAAATTTGGACAGTTAGGCCTAGTTCTTCTTTTTGAGTCACCTAAAGAGGTTTGATTTCCTTTGGGTTTGACTTCAAAGATAAATATCAGACCGCAGATTTTCCTATCAGGATTTCAGGTTTTTACATCTATACCTGATGAACAATTTAAAAGATCAAAGTTTGTTTAAACCCAGCCATTTTTCATGTAAGCAAACATATTGAACAGAAAGAATTAACATTGAATGAAGTAAATAACACGTAATATTTCACTGCATAATAATTTATGTCGGCCCTGAGAAAAAACAACAAAAAAACATATTGGTGGATCTTTAGTTTAAACAAACGATATCATCTAAGTTGATTGTCTGAGCCAGATGTAAATAACTTTAAATAAAAGCTGGTAAATCTCTTGTCTGATTCTCATTTTTAAAGTTGAACCTACACTAAATATTTTTGTCCACAAAAAAAAAAGAAAAGAAAAAAAAAACCCACAATATCGCCATAACTCTTGAGGTGCACATGTGTTGTAAAAATACCTTTCACAGGAGTATCATTGTCTGACTCCATCATCCATGGTGTGACCAAAGAGCCTGTTTTTAAAAATAAATAAATGAATGAATAAGAAACTTCTCTCCAGACAGCTTAGACATTATTGACTATGTCTGCACTACTAATATCTGAAGTTACATAAAGGTAAACAAAATGAAACCGAAATCTATAAAGTTAATTTTACAAAGAAATCTTTGCATGTTAACACCGACTGCTAGACTGATCTAGCACAGTTGATAACTTTTTTTGTTGTTCTTTTGTTGTTTTGTTTTTTTACTGGCGATGACTTTCCCCACTGTAGTCATCAAATATGGCTGTCCAAGAACTTCTAATGCAGGGGTGTCAAACTCAAATACACAGTGAGCCAAAATTCAAAACTGGAACAAAGTCGCGGGCTAACATTAATAT